ATAAAATATATTACTTCGGTGACATTATAAATTATTTATGACTGATTATCTCAATTTATTATTTCTATTATCAAAACGTTATGGGGATAATGGAAAAAAAAAAACAGTGATAAGTTTAATATAAGAAGCAGATTATTTATTTTTCAAAATAAGATAATTATAAGCATTTAATGAAATTAAACGGTGCATGCAAAAATTGCGATCCCTAAAGATTGTTGCTTTGTAGATATACATAGTCTTTGGCAAGTGAATACATCAAACAGCAGAATTAATGGCAAAGGTGTTGTGAATTTTGGGATAAAGAACCTAAAAAAGCAGAAGAATGAAGAGTTGAACTAGAGATGAGAGTGAAGAGTTGAACTAGAGATGAGAGTGAAGGGCTAATAGAAATTGGGTGGTCCGATAACGGCCCGATCGATAACGGGTAAAATAGAATAATAGAATGTCCACATAGAATTCGCTAGAATAGACTCTAACCATGATTATGATACCATATTAGAAGGTGGGTTTTAAAGCTTAATTTAACCTCACAAAACCGGCTTATAAGGTGAGGTTTGCAATTCACTTATATATTATAATTTGGTCTTATCTCTAATCGATCATCCACCAAACTTTTATGTTTTAGATAATGACTGAGATGTTGGCAACGATTGATTGAGAATAAAGTCACTGTGCATTACTGATGGATGTCGTTCACTCAATGGAAAGAATTGAACAAAGTAAAAAAAGTAATGCCATGATGAGAATTATGTTCCAGACGATAGAGAATTGTGTGTTGGATCTAGAATTAGATGCCATATAAATTATTCTGCGGAAGATTAACGCTTCCCTTTGATGTTACTGTATGAGAAGAATCTATGATCTATCTATTTATATTATTTCCATATGTGCACACACCAATGAACTGCAGCACCAAATTGTTCGTCTTCACCTTCATCGGAATTATGGAAAAAAGGTGCAGGTATGGTTGGATTTATGTCTAGCTACGTTGATCTTTCCAATTTTAGGATAATTAGTTGTTTGCTGTTGTTACAGTATTTGTTTTTCTACTATTAATATATTTTTGTAAAAGGGTTATATTAAAAGTGTTTATTGAATGGGATTGAATAGATTAAGGTGAAATTGTAATGATTTTGCCATGTTTGAAGAGAAGTGAATGGTTTTGATATGGTAAGAAATATATTTATGATCATTCGTGCAGATACAGTGCTGCTAGAAATTGTTGAATTGAAATGGGTAATAGTCCCAGCGGCCCTCGTCTACTGGGAAATGGAAAGTATTCTTCTTACGATATTAAACTGGGCAAAGCGGCTACCATTAGCGTCAAAAATGAGGAAGGTCTTTTGGAATCACGTTGGAAACTTGTGTACGACGTTCACGAAATGACATGTACACTTTCCATAGCAAAATTGACCAACGAAAGATCAGGTGATGATGATTTAATCATCAATGTCTTATATAATCCCGTAGAAGTAAGGTTTGATGATACAGGAACTATGAGTTTTCATACACGTCGGCTTATTTCTTTTATGGTGCAAAAAGATCAAATAACTGGCCTTCTTTCCGCAGTAACTATGGTAGGAACTGTTATGAAGTCAAGGAGTTTTTCTAAATTTCGTGAATCATTGAGGTGCGAGGTAGAAACGCAGAGTTGGACATATACGTGTGCAACCATGGAAGGTCTTGTTGTTACGCAGAAGAAGAAGAAAAGCAACCAAGAACAACCCTACATGATTACCGTAGCGCATTATTACGTGAATAGGGATAGTGGTGGAAGTGGTGTAGACATAGGTTTTTCAGTTGTGGTGAAGATTGGAGTGGTTAATGGGCAATTAGATTTTAGCGTAGAAGGCCCTGAGGAACACCCTACTTCGGCATTATTTTACATGATTGAAGAAGTGTGTCGAACAGGGACGTGGAAGCCTTCTGCATGCCCTCATTGCAACAATATCCAATCGCAACAGCGTAGATTGGTTTCTGAGAGTGAAGACAGCGACACCAATCTTCCAACACCGCCATCATCTCATGGAAGCCAACAAAATGCATCAAATAAGGGACGCTTCAAAGGCGATGGCATCGGTAATATAATTCATGCAAAGGAAGTTAAATTTATTAAACAGTTTCATAACAACAATCATTTGAGAAAATATGTGAGTGAAAGTCTTTAATAAAAATGACAGATTTAAATATTACATAAGATGTAACACTCATCAATTCATGTTAAGTTATTGATGAAAAATTGTGTGAAATATCTTTATGTATATTAGGTTATATCATATTATATAATATCTTCGTTATCAAAAATATAAATAAGTCAACAACTCTCATTTTATCTTTAAATATCATGACACACGTTTAAATTCATATGATAGATAATATAAGGGCAAAATAGTTTTAAAAATGTAAAGTTTTATATTTTTTTTTTAAAAAAAGTAAAAGGTAAGTAAATATAATATCAAATAAAAAGTTTAATTATATCAAATAATCATTTTTCTTTGTCTTCAACAAGTTGTTTCTTATAGCCCTGCACACTCACTTATTTGTGTTTCCTCTCACTAAAATTAAAAAGTTAGTTTGACACGGCTTAAAAAGATGACATTCGACACCATTTTTAATAATATAATTATGATTTTAAATTAAAAAATAATATAATTATAATTAAAATATATTATTTGTTCAGATGAATGTGTTTGTGTTTTTCTTGTGTTGTGTCGAATATGCTCATGTAATATATATTCACAATCTGTCTCTTCCTTTTCCTTGAGATTATTATTAGAATAAAATATAATTACACAATCAAATATTATATATATATAGAGTTATTTACTTTTTTTATTTTTTAATATTATAGTATTAGTTTTGTTCAAATCTCTATTCAAAAGAAAATTAATAGAAAGTTTCTTGTTATGCTTAAAAATAAGAAAGAACATTTTGTAGTGTTAAACTTAATGTTATTTTTAGTGGAGTGGAATCTCCAACACGTTTATCATTTAAAGGACATTGAATGTGAAAATTCGTAAAAATTTAATAGTGGATGGTATAATAAATGTAAATCTTAACTAAAACATAATCTTATGCTATTATACCACATTAAAAAATAAACAATATAAATAAATAAATATATATATATATATATATATAATTTATACGTATATATAAAATATTTTTTATTTTTAGTATGCATATTTTTTTATTTTATCCTTTAAATAATTTTTTTAATTAAAAAAATTATTTTATCAATTTTTTTGGTAAATTTACGTTAAAAAGCGCGGAACAGCGAGTTTCGGGCAAATGAATTTCCTCGCTCAATTGAAAAGAAGAGGGAGAAAGATCGATTAATATTGTGCATTTACCAATTTGCTCATGTCCTTTTAACCTACGTACTGTTGCATTTTCCATATCCTTTATGGCCAGATATAAATTATTATACTAATTAATTATAATTTTTATTTAATAATTTTTAATTAAAAATAATAATTCATATTTCATTTTTAAATAATAATTCATATTTCATTTTAATATAATTTACATATTTTACACTATAATTTTAATTATTTTTACATCTAATGGTAAAATAGTTATATGTTAATTTTATCAATTAAAACTTTTTTAATCTATATAAGATATCACATTATTTATTCATTCTCCTTTCAAATTCTTTCATTTCTTAACATCTTTTACTTAATCCAAATAACATTCCAAAAATACCTTTTCAAATTTAGGTAAGTTTCTATACTCTAGTTAAGCTCAAATTAATTTTCTATTACTGGCCTCTTTATTATTAAGTATGGTATATATGGAAAATAATTTTCACTTACTATATTGTGGATGTTTTCGTCTTTAAGTAGAAAAATCCAACAATGGCTTTTAAAGAAACACTATTTACTTAATCATTCAACAGTTATACATACATTAATTATTTAATTTGTATATATGAATTTAAGTATTAGTTGAAATTTTATATCAAATAAAATAAGCAAGATAAACAATATATAAATAAAAAAACTTAAAAGATTTATTAACTTAAAATTTTATAATAAAATTAATATATTAATATTTAATATAAATTTATTATGATTTATTTAGTGTGAAATTTTCTTTGTCTCCTTTTAAAAAATATATGTACTTTTTTAAGTAAGGCTCTCCAAAGTTTATATTTGCTTATTTATATTTATCAAGAGGCTTTCTAACATACTTGTGGTACCGTATCAATAGAGATTCATTAAATTAATATGTTTTTCATTTCACAAAGGGCATAATTAATTTTATTTGTATTGTTAATGTAATACATGGTTAATTCACTTTTATTTTCGTTTTAATCTTTGTTATTTTAGTTTAATCTTTGTAATCGTATACTTATTTTTTCGGTCTTTAACAATATATTATGTTGATAATTTATTTAATCTTTGTAATCATATACTTATTTTTTCGATCTTTAACAATATATTATGTTGATAATTGATTTCTTGTCTTTATAATTTTTTGAAAATAAGATGGGTGTTTAAGGAATAATGTACAACAAAAATAAAGACACTTGCATTAAGGATCCTAACACATCTTTTATATTCTAACTTGTACTTATTTCTAAACACTTCATTAAAATTATAGGACAGTTAAAATGATTTTAGAAGACTTCTCAAAACCAAATTGTTAAACTAAACACTAAGAAAAAATATTCGAGATTAAGAAATAGACTTTAAACTTAACTCAATTTTATAAAATTAACCAATAAAATTAGATATTAATGAATAATCCTAATTCATAACTTTGATATTATGTTAAAAAATAAACTTTAAACATAACTCAACCTCATAAAACCGATATGTATCAAATGATTTACATCTATTTATATATTATAAATTAATCTTTAGTCGATGTGAGAATAATAATGCATATTCTATAATGCTCCTGTTAACATATTGAAGCACCTTTGTTGATTAGCATAATACCAATGTTATTTTGCTTTTCATGCATGAGTTGAATTTCAAAATGCTCAGCAATATTAAACTTCATATACTTGAGTTACAAAATTTACTTAGTGAGACAGCTTCAATCTTATGAAGTTCACAGTGCAGTGACTGAAGAGAAGTGAGGATAAACCAACAAGCCTAAGAAATGTCTACAACAAACATATATGGCCTAAGATACTTGGATCCTATACGTAGGATTTTACATATTCAACCAAGAGAATCCCCAGCTTGTGCCCTGCACTTGCCTTTGAACTCTTCTATCATGTGTTTAAAGGTAATAATTAGTACTCCATCTTTTCTGTATCAATACCATATTGCTAGTTGCCACTTTTGCATTTTTCCATGGCTCTTGGTGCTGCAGAAATCAAACATAAGTACACTTCAAGATTCAATATATATTTATTGTGTTTTGATCAATAAATAGGACCTTGTATCTTCATTCAATAAGCTAACTCAAAGATGCAACATTTGAGTTGTATTGAGTTAGATTGTTAAAGAAAGAAACTTATGTATTGTAATTCTTGCGTTATAGTGAATTCTGTTGTAGATGTAGATTGAAAGTTTTCTTAGCATTTCAACCGAATCATGTTACTTTTATGTGTGATTTTTGTTCTTCCTCTAATTACCTTAGTCACATTGATGGAACAACTTGCAAAATGAACCTCCAAATAGTGAAAGAGAAGATGTATCGGGATAGAAAGGTGAAGTATCATATTTGCTACAATGTTATGTCAACTTATAACAAACTACAATGTGCCATTAATGGTAGGATGAAACTGAGGTGTTCGATAATTTCTCATAAGTCAAGGCTCTCCCATTAATTTACCACTTTGTCTAGAGTTATACTGAGCAAAGGATAATTAGCAATAAAAGGATAGTGATAAATAATAGATTATGCACAATGTGATAATTAGCAATAAAAGGATAGCATGAATCGGATTGTGAAATCTGATAATTACTGAAATTTGTTCTCTGTGAAGTGGATTGCGAAACGCCCGATGTGTCTGTGAAATCCGGTTAGAAGTGTGTACTAACCGGATTATCCTATAAGATGTTAAACGGTATAATTTTTACATCTTATATAGTCTTTAAATTAAATAATAGCACTGAAAAAGTTATTTAAAACTCACTTTACAAATTTTTCTATTTGAGGTTTTTTAAAACATTATTCCTCAAGCTCTTTTTTTTTTCTACAGTGATGAACAACAATCTTTAATTAATTTTTTATACTTTGTATGTTTTCTTTCCCGTTTTAAAAGACAAAACTCATTCTAATACTTTGATGAAACTTCATTTATATTTATTTTTCTAATTTCTTGACATAGATAAGAGTTATTGGATAACATGAGGGAGAAATGATCATTTTTATATAATCATTCACCTCTATTAAATTTTATAAAAATCTAAAATTTTCTTGCTGGAAGTTGTATTTTTCATTTTCAAGCAATTTTTGAGTTCTTATTTTTTTTTATTAATAGTTTTAAAATCTAAATATTAAAATTTAACACATTTTTACATTACTTTTCATATTAAACCTCAAACCTTAGCATGCAAAATTCTTCCTCTTTCCCTTTACTGTTTTTTTTTCTTAAAAGGAATTATTACACTGATTTTATTTTACTATGTTTTAAGATTTTCTTTAACATTACAACATTTATTTAAATTACTACACCCTTAAACTCTATACATTATTTTTTTAATAAATTTGGATATTTCTGCATTCAACTATCTTTATTTGAGGAAACAATAGTTCATGGTTGTTCTTAATATTTATGAATTCTAAAAACTTCTTTCAATAACCAATCAATATATAAACTTTTACAAAATAACCAAATTCCTTGAAATGAGAAGAATGCTTATTCCTGTTTACTAATAAATTAATCTTCTTTTCATGTCGTTAGGATGCTAATGAAATCAATCGATCTTTAAAGATTAAATTTATCTTAGTTTCGAATATAAAGTAAACCTGTGTTTACTCCTATACATCCTGATTTGAGAAATAAAAAATGTTAATAGTCAACGTATTTTAAATGTTATAAAATATTTTACTTCGGTGACATATTATAAATTATTTATGACCGATTATCTCACTGTAATATTTTTATTATCAAAATTTTATGGCGATAATAAAAAAAAACTGTGATAAGTTAATATAAGAGGCAGATTATTTATTTTTCAAAACAAGATAATTATAAGCATTTTAATGAAATTAAATGGTGCATGCAAAATTTTGCGATCCCTAAAGATTGTTGCTTTGTAGATATACATAATCTTTGGCAAGTGAATACATCAAACAGCAGAATTAGTAGCAAGGTCAAGTGCTGAGGGAGTGAGCAAAAGTGGGTGCTGTGAATTTTCAGATAAAGAACCTAAAAAACCTGAAGAATGAACAGTTGAACTAGAGATGAGAGTGAAGGGCTAAGCCAACACAGCACATAACACGATTGGAAAGAACTTTTATGTTTTAGATAATGAATGAGATGTTGGTATCGATTGATTGAGAAGAAAGTCACTATATTACGGATGGATGTCGTTCACTCAACGAAGTCAAAAAAACAATGCCATGATGAGAATTATGTTCTAAAGATAGAGAAGAGTGATAATATATTGGAGGAAGAATTAGATGCCATCTAAATTATTCTGCGGAAGATTAACGCTTCCCTTGATGTTGATGTTACAGTGGGAAGAATCTATAGTCTATCTATTTATATTCTTTCCATATGTGCACACACCAATGAACTGCTGCACCAAATTCTTCGTCTTCACCTTCATCGGAATTATCGAAAAAGTTCATTCAGGTGGTCGAGTTGCAAGAGCAGGTACGGTTGGATTTATGTCTAGCTACGTTGATCTTTCCACAGTTTGAGGATAATTAGTTGTTTGCTTTTGTTACAGCATTTGTTTTTCTACTATTAATATATTTTTGTAAAAGGGTTATATTAAAAGTGTTTATTGAATGGGATTGAATACATTAAGGTGAAATTGTAATGATTTTGTCATGTTTGAAGAGAAGTGAATGCTTTCGATATGGTAAGCAATACATTTATGATCATGCGTGCAGATACAGTGCTTCTGGAAATTGTTGAGTAGAAATGGGGAATAGTCCTAGCGGCGCTCGTCTACTGGGAAATCGAAACTATTCTTTTTACGATATTAAACTGGACAAAGCGGCTACCATTAGCGTCACAAAATTTGAAAGTCCTAGCGGGCCATGTTGGAAACTGGTGTACGACGTAGACGGAATGACTTCTACACTTTCCATAACAAAAATCAGAGACAGAGTATTACGCATCGATATCAGGGATTGTTATAGCGTAAAATTAAAGGAGGATTCAGGAAGTGTTTGTCTTCGTGAACTTATTTCCATTTCAGTGGAAAAAGAAAAAGAAACTGGTCTTCTTTACGGAAGAAATCTGGTGGGAAATAATTTTTCAAATTTTCGTGAATCATTGAGTGGCGAGGTTGAAACGCAGAGTTGGACAAATGCGTGTGGAACCAGGAAAGGTCTTCTTGTTACGCAGAAGATGAAGAAAAGGAATGATGAACGACCCTACATGGTAACCCTAGCACATTATTACGTGAATAGTGCTAGTGCTGGAAATTTTGGTGAAAGTGGAGTGAATATGGGTTTTTCAGTTGTAGTGAAGATTGGAGCGGTTAATGGGCAATTAGATTTCATCGTAGACGGCCCTGTGGAACACCCTTCTTCGGCATTACTTTACATGATTGAAGAAGTGGTTCGAACAGGGAAGTGGAAGCCTTCTGCATGCCCTCATTGCAAGAATCTCCAATCGCAACAGCGTAGATTTCTGCTATCTGAGAGTGAAGACAGCGACACCAATCTTCCAACACCACCATCATCTCATGGAGGCCAACAAAACGCATCAAATATGGGACGCTTCAACGGCGATGGCATCGGTAGTATAATTCGAGCACACAAAGTTAACTTTAATAAGGCCTTGTTCTTTTGAGTGGATTAGGGGATTTGAAAGGATTTGAAGATAATTTTTTTTACGTTTATTTGAGTGAATTTCGAGGTAAATGACAGTGAATTTGGAAATAAATTTTTTTAATTTGTCACGTCAATACAATTCTATACTAATTCTCACAAATTTTATTTCTAAATTTACTCTCATTTACCTTCAAATTCACTCAAATAAACGATAAAAAAATTTATCTTCAAATCCTCTCCTCAAATCCCCTCAAATTCACTCCCTCAAATCCACTGAAAAAAACAGAGTCTAAATGTTGGTCATAACTTGTTCATGCCAACAACTATTTGAAAAAAAAAAAAGTGAGTGAAAGTGTTACATTAGATAAAATGATACAGTTGAATATTATATAAAGACTTTTAAATTTAATAAAGTTTTTAATTAAAAATTATATATATATGAAATATCTTTATGTGTATTCATATTATATAATATCTTCCTTATCAAAAAAAATAAACCCATCAACAACTCTTCTTTTATCTTTTGTATGATCCTCCAATTTGTTTCAGATCTCCACCACATGCATTGTATTTTTGTTTTCTCTTTACTATTTTTAATATCAATTTTAGTAAAATGATTCCAAACTTTTGAAATACCTACTCTAAGTCTTTTACTTTCTTTATCAAAATCTTTATTCTCATTCTCAATCTCTTTTATGGTTGGTAGCAAAAAATCATTCAAATTGTTATGAACACATTAATGATTTATGGTTTCAGAATTCATTTTTAGTCTAATTAAGTACAAAACAGATGTAAAATTGAAAGTAGTGAAAAGGGAGTGTTATTGGGTTGATTTTTAGTCTAAATTGGGGTTTTTATAGGTGGATTTCTACATGAGCGATTTTGGAGAGATAACTAATGTTTGGAGTCCATTTTTAGGTCATTTTAAACTTGTTTAGAACCTTAGTTAACCAAAAATCTAATGTTGGTTTCGAGGGTAGTAAATAGGTAGAATTTGCAGGTTGAGTTTTAGGCTATTTTGGTCCATTTTAGGGGTTTTAACAAGTGAGAATCTAAAGGAGAAGGTTTGTGATAAAAATGAAGGTTTCAGGTCATTTTTGAGTTAATTTTAACCTGTTTAGACCCTTAGTTTGAAAATTTATGGTTTACAATGTGTAGAATTGGTTATAGATGCTTTTGAGTTGTTAAGTTGGTCTGGCACATCTTGTTTTTTATCAAATGAGCAAAGTGGTACTTAACATTTACCATAAACATATTTTGCATCAATCTTAGTCTCAAAGAAACCAATTTGGTCATTTGAATAGGTTTTATGTGCAGCTAAACCAGAAAAACAAGTTGTTGTCATATGGTATGACGTTGAGCGGCCCTGTGTGGCACTCAACGCTGCCAAAACAGTGAGCCACTAGGCTCCAAAGCGTTGAGCGCTCCCTTTTGGCACTGAGCGCTGCTTTTCCAGAAAGTTCTACGCGCTGGCCGAGTTAATAGTGAAGGGTCGCTATATGTTGTAGGGGTTGAGCGAGAGTTTTCGCTAGACTTGCAGAACTCTTTGTTTAAGTACTCGTTGGACGCAGGGTGAGCTCGTTGGGTGCAGCGTGAGTTCGCTGGGTGAGTTCGCTAGGCGAGCATGGGCTAGAGTTGGGCACCCTATGTGCTAGTTTGGTTTTTGATTTTTTTTTCTCTTTTGTTTCTTATGGATTGGAGATGTCTTGATATTTTAATGCTTGTTTGCTATGTATGTTGGTTTGAAAAGAATTTCAAGGGAGAAATTCTTGATGGTTGTTTCAAGTAGTGTATGTATTATTGTAGGAGTTTAGTCTTGGAGGTTATTCTAACATCCTAATGGTCATTCATTCTCAAGTAGAGAGGGATGAACATGTGGTAAGAGTAGCAGAAGGTCCTAGTTTATAGGTTTTACCTTGGCCTAAGGCATTAATAGACTAATCTTGTGTATGGTAGGGTGAAACTCATTGGCAATAGCTCTGGAGAGTAGTAGCAGAAACCACCACTAGTGCACAACTCGTCATAGTTCAACAATAATACATGTATCTGAATCAATCAAGTCTAGATTTTTATGATATGTTTAGGTGTTATGCTTAGTTTGAAAGTGAAATATATTATATACTAATTTATAATTCCATATTCTTTTGACATTTGCTTACCATTTATGTGTTGTTTGCTTGTTTTTGTTTGTTGTTTCTTTTTTAAATGATCACCTGATGACTGTGAACAGAGAGAAATGAACTTTCAGTGGAGCAGGTCCTAAGCGACAAGGCCATAGATGTATAGTTATGTTTAGTATATAGTTAGTTTTTTTGGGTTGTTTCCTTTGTAGATATATTTTTCTGTTGGAACTTTCTTGTATATAAGTTTTGAATTCCATTTATGCTTTTGAAAGACTATGATATGCTTTCCTTTTTGTTAATTATTCCTATTTTATTGAATATGTATAAATTCCAAATTAGTAATTTAAAACTATTATAAATAGGATATTACATTTTAATTTTAAATAAAATGCATATTTCATTTTAACATAATTTACATTATTTACATTTTATTTATAATTATTTTTATTTCTAATGATAAAATAGTAATTTTTTAATTTTATCAATTAACTTTTTTTTAATCTATCAAAAATATCACATCATCAAATAACTTTTCTCTCAAATTCCTTCCTTTCTCATCACGTTTTCTTAATCCACAAAATCTCATTTTCATATATCTTTTTTCAAGTTTTGGTAAGTTTTTCTATTTTAGTTAAGCTTAAATTAATTTCTTATTACGGGCCTATTTAAGATTAAGTATGGTATATATGGAAAACAATTTTCACTTACTATATTGTGGATATTTTCGTCTTTAAGTGGAAAAATCCAACAATGGCTTTAAAAAAAAGTGTATTTACTTAATCATTCAACAATTATACATACATTTATTTAATTTGTACATATGAATTTAAGTATTAGGTTAAATTTTATATCAAATATAAAAATAAGATAAACAATATATATCAAAAAAACTTACAATATTTACTATATTAAAATTTTATAATAAAAATAATATATTAACATTTAATATAAATTTATTTATGATTTATTAGTGTCGAATTTTCTTTCTCTCCTTTTAAAAACTATATGTACTTTTTTAATTAAGGCTCTCCAAAGTTTATATTTTGCTTATTTATATTTATCAAGAGGCTTTCTAACATACTTGTGGTACCGTATCAGTAGAGATTCATTAAATTAATATGTTTTTCATTTAACAGTTCAGGGCATAATTAATTTTATTTGTATTGTTAATCTAATACATGGTTAATTCACTTTTATTTTCGTTTTAATCTTTGTTATTTTAGTTTAATCTTTGTAATCATATACTTATTTTTTCGGTCTTTGACAATATATTATGTTGATAATTTATTTCTTGTCTTTATAATTTTTTGAAAATAAGATGGGTGTTATAGGAATAATGGACATAACAAAGACTGTTTAAATAAAAACAAAAAAACACTTGCATTAAGGTTCCTAACACATCGTTTACATTCTAACTAGTACTTATTTCTAAACACGTAATTAAAAATATAGAAAAATAAAAATGAAATAAGGTGTGAGGACAGTTAAAATTATTTTAGAGGAGTCACCAAATTAGATTTTGATAATCTAAATAGTAGTAAAAGATATCCAAAATTAAAAGAATAATTTTAAACTTAACTCAATCTCATAAAATCAACCGATAAAATGAAACTAGATATTAATAAATAGTTATAATCTATAATTATATAGTACGTTAAAAAATAGATCTTAAACATAATTCAATCTCATAAAACCAAATGATTTATATATATATTTATATACTATAAACTCGTCTTATCTTTAGTCGGCATATATTAAATGATTTATATACTATAAACTCGTCTTATCTTTAGTCGATGCGAGTATAAATTCGTTTTATCTTTAGTAAATTAAAAATAATTATGCATATTCAAGATGCTCCTATATTAACATATTCATATTGAAGCACCTTTTGTTTGATTATCAGAATACCTATGTTATTTTGCTTTTCATGCATGACTTGAATTTCAAAATGCTCAGCAATATTAAACTTCATATACTTGAGTTACAAAATTTACTTAGTGAGACAGCTTCAATCTTATGAAGTTCACAGTGCAGTGACTGAAGAGAAGTGAGGATAAACCAACAAGCCTAAGAAATGTCTACAACAAACATATATGGCCTAAGATACTTGGATCCTATACGTAGGATTTTACATATTCAACCAAGAGAATCCCCAGCTTGTGCCCTGCACTTGCCTTTGAACTCTTCTATCATGTGTTTAAAGGTAATAATTAGTACTCCATCTTTTCTGTATCAATAGCATATAGCTAGTTGCGACTTTTGCATTTTTCCATTGCTCTTGGTGCTGCAGGAATCAAACATAAGTACATAAGTACACTTCAAGATTCAATATATATATATATATATATATATATATATATATATCATTTTGTATCATTATGCAGTTGAGTTATATCATGACTGATGAGTTTTTCAATGTTAAGACAAGATATAAAAGAAAGCACATAGTTGTATGAGTCAGTCTCACCTAGTCCAATTGCTTCAGAACTTTTCATTATCCTCAGCCTCTTGCATGAGCCAGTGAACATCCTAAACAACAACAACATCATTTCTCATGTTGTCCTTTGTTGATTGTGATATTATTAAGATGATCAAATAAATGTATTTGCAGAAAAACACAGTTTAACAGATGTTTACTATGCAGAGTAATGCTTTTTTAAATCTAAACACCAAAATAGAAATCAAATCAGAATAATGCAAAACAGAGACATGATATGCACTCACTCCCATGGAACATCACCAACTAGCATCCAATCACCATCCTTGTCTTCATAGGTGAGAACATATTCTGAACCATGAAGCAGATCCATCAATCTACTTTCACTCAACTTATCTCGACCAGAAACTCCATGAGAACCACATTGTCCTGCACTTGTCATTGGTGAAAACATCATCAGAATCTGAAACATAAAAACCATTTTATTGGTAAAGAATCATTTGACCTATTCATAGCACTCCCGTAAATATTCCCCCAGCTCATGGAACCAACCAGCCTGAGCCTGTGACATTGGAAGACTTAGGATTCTGATTTAAAAGGGTGCCACTTCTGATCATCATAAATTCTTTATACTTGGCTCATCAAAATCAAATCAAGAGAACAATTGCCATAACCAAAGAATATTGGAATTTGAAAGCTATGCATAATTTTGTACAGTAAGAAGGTAAGAACAACTTTGAATGGAATAATATGCTTGCAAAGAAAAACAAAACTCACTGATTGTAAAACAACTAAACATCTTTTCCAGTGCTGAAGACAGTTCCATGTAAGTGGCAAAGTTTTTGAGATCCACTTTCCTCAAGTATGGAGCACCATCCATGCTAACTTTCACATAAAGGCACCCTGACTTGGCTTCTGCATCATCATCATTCTTCTGAGGCTGAGTGGCCATTGAGTTCTTCCTGAAAGATCGAATTGGTGGCCATCCCACAACCTGTTCCCTGATCCAAGAAACAAAAAAATTACACTACATTAAAAGGGAAATTGAGATAACCATCAAAGATCATAACTTCAAAACAGAAAGGAACCCAACCACTAAGCTGCCTAAGGGAAATGCAAAACAGATAAGAACACTGAATAAAGTTGCATGATAAAAATTGAACAATTGGTTATAGGACACTGAATAACCCGAGGAGTTCAGTACAAAGTCATACACAGCAGCAAACAATTGATAACCAAGATGAAGAAGAAAGCTTACAGAACCACCAAAATAATCGAGATCATGATTACCATAGAAGAAATACCCCCTAAATTACATAGAAAAGAGTTAACAGGTTATATAATACTAGAGAGTAACGTGATAACATAATTAGCAACAAGAAGAGTTAAAGAACTCAAAAGCCTCGTCTTGATACACTTCACTTATTCTTCCTTCTTTTCAATTCAAAATTCAACCAAATATTTTTTCAAAGTAAAAAAAAGAACAAAAAATCATTTCTTGGCTCTGAATTATCCCATTTTCTTCTTGATTCCAACATTTTCCAAATATGCAAAAGATATAAACAAGACAGCACAAAAAGTGAACAAAGATAACATTAACTACAAGAATACATATATCATGTGATGATGCTAAAGGAAGATGGTGCTACTTTGCAGCAGGAGCAGATATCTGAGGTTTCTTCTCATTCAACGGTTTTGGAGGCAGAGGAACTTTATCTTTTACAACAGAAATTTGTTGGTTGGCAGACTCAGCCTTGGCAGCACCAGCACCAATACCCCTTGGTGAGAACAAGCCACAATCTTTTCCCAAATCCACCTCAGATCCACCATTCCCTGAGAGAAGCCATTTCCCAGAACCCCCATCAATGGTGTCTGAGAAACCCCTCTTGGCCCCAGACACCAAATTCTTGACCATGCCTAAAGGGTGCCCATTTTTTTCTTCCACACCCCCATCTCTCTCCGGTGACTCGGAACCTGGTAAACCAAGCCTCAGCTCAGTAGCCTTGAGGTTCAAGCCAGCACTAGTAGAAAACTTGTCAGAACTTTCCATTGCAGAAACCTCTGATAACCCTACATAGCCTTGTTCCAATGGCACAGACATCAAACTTCAGCTCACACAACTACAACAGTTTCAGTTATTCTCAAATATGGAAAAGAATCAACAGAGAGGAAGATGGAAACAGAAACTGAGACTGGATAATCAGAATTTAACAGTGGAAATTCTGAGACTTTCTATATAAACTGATATTGTAAAACTGTATGCGTTCTGTATAAACTGATAGCAATGGAATTATATGTGGTGTAACAAAAAAAAGAAAAAGAGAAAATTGGAGAACCAGGGAGAATTAGAGATTGTGATTGCATTTTACTATACAAAAGAGAATATAGAACTGTTTGCAGCTGTTTGCTTTATTCTTCAAATTAAATTAAATTTTGTAAGAAAAAAAAATCCTTTGAAGAATGTGCTTTTTCAGTTTTCTGTGATTCGTGTGAATCTTTTTGTGGGAGACCACTCCGACAAAGCCCAGAAAGTCTCTGCCATACTTTACCCGTTCCATTATTCTTTTTGCAAATCAATTTCATTGTCACTCGTGATTTTAATAAGAAATTATTCTGTTTATTCTTTAATTTTGGATAATTTATTTAATTTGTAGCAATTTCGATCAGTGTATCAGTCAGTATCTTTCATACTCAAGAAAAACAAAATATTATTTTTATGGTATCACAAAAGTAATTATTTATGATCAAACAGTAATCGAATTTAAATAACTTAAAATTCAATTTTTGAATTCTTAATCTCACACAAAATAGCATGGTTGTTCTTAAAATAATATAGATAAATATATAAAATAATTTTACTTTAAAAAACAGTCTCGTAAATGTCTTGAGTTCAATATAGAGGCTTATGAAGAAACTTTCTTTAATCATAATAAAGATATATGGGTCAAATCTAAATAAATAAAAAACCAATATTCAATTTAATAATGATTTGTACTCATTTACGTATACAAGTAATATTGATAAATGGTTACTAAAAAGTAAAATTGAAGAAAAAAAATGTACATAAAAAACTGAATCCTCTATCTATAATAATATAATATATAAAAGTATAAACAATGCTTGCTTTGTATTTTAGGTAAATACGTACTTGTTTTAAATTTATACAAAAAAAAAAATTAGAACGACCATTTTGTGTATATAGTTACTATTATAAAATTTTATGTGATTCGTATTTTCTTTTCAAGTTTCATGAATGATGTTAAAAAGACAAATCATCACAAAAAGAAGAAATTAAATGGAGGAGACGGATGAGAACAAGTATAATTATTAAGATGTATTTGAAAAAATTAATTAATATATATTTGAAAATTTTAATCAAATATAAAGACTTTCCATTTTTTTAAAACAAAATAAAAATAACTCTGAAATAAAATAAGTATAAACAAATTTCTATATAATATATAATTAACCTATATATCAACACGGTTTTACTTGAATTTGGTTTAAATAGCGGTTTTGAAAAATAGTATTATATAGTTAATATCTATTTAGTATTATATATATTTAAGCTTTAATCTCCTTTTTCTATAATCATATTATTATAAAATTAATGTTTACCAACAATTAATATCAACATTAACATAAAATAAAGACAGAAACAATGATGATATTAGGATGTGAGCATCATCACAAATTCACATTCAAAATTTGATAAATAAATTATGATGGAAAGTCCACCACATTCCACTTTCTTATTGAATAGGGTTCTTACTTATTATCAAGTTTTGTTGTGATTTTGTCTTCTCTTACTATTATTACTATCACTCCTATCTTATATTTCGTGGTGGATTGTGTTTGCCAATTTCTAAATAGTGGGTCCAACATGCTTTGCACTTTTGCTATAGTTAAACCATCCTTCTAAATGGATAACAATTCTCACTTTTTTTTTATAATTGGATATAATTAGAGTCTAATGAAGTAAATACTTTATTTTTTATTTATTAAAGATTTATTTTAATTATATTGTAATATGTTTTGATACATTATAATCTTACATAGCTTAAAGTAGAGAGTAAGTATAATTTAAATATATATTCTTCCTCATTAGGTATTTTTAAAAATAAGACTATGACAAGGATTTTAAATTTTAAAACAAATAATATCTTAGATAAGATGTTAATAACGTTATTTCAACATATTTAGAGGTTATAACTTAGGGTGTGTTCGGTTGAGGTTATTTGTAGGAGATGATTTGGGGAAGAGTAATTGAATGGATTTGAGGGTAATATTTTTGTTGTTTTTTTGAGTAGATTTGTGGGTAATTGAGAGTGAATTTGATAGTAAAGTTTGTGAGAATTAGTGTAGGATTTGATTGATGTGACAGATTTAAAAAATTTGTTTATATATATCTCTCTTTCAATTTGAGGGTTTGTGTCCCTCTCTTTGATCCATTTCAAAAAAACATTATTCCAATTTTTTTTTTCAAACATTCATTGTTTCTCTCTCTAAAAAAAGAAAGTGTCCTTCTTCTGTTCTATCTCTACAACCCCTCGTTCTTCACTTTGATTTTCTATCTTCAATGATAACTCAACCATGATCCTCTACACGTAATCCCACCATACCTAACCTAAAACCCTTTTGATCTTTATCTCACACCATGTCTCAAGGATCTCTCCTGCAAGACAACAAAGAATCCTCGCCAAAACCCTCGCCGGAACCCGATTCGCACAAGGACGAAGCAAACACCAACACCACCGCTACTGTCACCGCCGATGTTGCTCCTCCTGCACCCACCAGGAACTGCCCTTCTTGCGCATGTAACATTCGCACGGCTGCACGCCTCTATTCAGCGTCGCAGTCGGTCAAGCCCAAGGCTGCAAAGAGGGAGCCTCGCCACGAGGATTTGCCCCAACATTGTGGTGGTGTTTCATTAAGCAGGTGCAAGACGAGGAATGGGAGGGAGCTACACCAGGTGCGGAACCGAACGCATTTGATGCATCACCAAGGGGAACTGAATACCCAATCCTGGAATCGAATACACCAGCGTTGAATTTTTCTTTGTTGAAGGAACCGAATACTGCTATTCTGTAATAGAATACACCATGCCAAAAATTAATTTTATTTTTGCTCTTCAACCACTGTTGTCTTCGTCTTCACCTATCATTTTATACATGCTATTTCAGAAATGATGGAGGACAAACATGACATTTTAATTAAAATCATCGCAAATCTGAGCACTTGAGAGAAGATTTGAAAACCCATGTATCTCGTAAATCCCTCCAATTCCATCGTCTCAAATCACAGGAAACAAACACAAAGTTATTCGCAAATCCATCGTCGCTATTTCTCTTGAACAGTATCATCCATAAAAACAAACACAAGGTTAATTCCCTTCAACTCTTAATTAAAAGTTTGTTTCCTTATACATAATATTAGAGAATCGTTCTTAACTAGAAAGTTTATTTCATTATATTCAATATTTTCATATTATTCAAGAGTCGAAGTCAAGACAATTAATACATAATCATCTCTAATTCGTCATGGTGACTAATTAGAATACTTTTAATAATATCTTAATAGACATGACTAAAATGAAATATTATAATAAAAAGGTTAATAATTTTTTATATATATTTGAAACTAATAATATTTTATATTTGGACTGAATATAATTTTTATAAATTAAGACCCATAAACATTTTTATCTGAATAATAGATTAAGAATTCCCAAAATGACTAAGAATCTTTTCTCCAAACATTCATAACAAATTGAGTTTCACCGATTACAAATTATTCTCTAATAGTGAATGTGGGACTAATTTTTCTTTTTAATAGATATAATTAAACTCGAACTATATGAATACTATATTTTAAATTTATTAAAGGTTTATTTTGATTATATTATTTCTCTCTATGTGAGATACTTGTATGAACCATATTTTACTTGTTCAAGTAAGATTTAAACTTAAGAAGGCTGGCAAAAAATACCTAACTGAATTAATAAAAGAAGTAGGTTAATTTTACTTAAAGCAACTTTAAAACTTTTATAAGTTGTAATAATAATTGATTGATTATAATTATTTAGGGTCCTATTATAATTAATAAATTTAGGTTTAGAACTTATGAATTTATTAAATGGTTGAAATTAATCAAAGTAAATTCATTTTTAAGTTATTTACTTAATGTAGTTGTATAAGTTAATTCTCTTATCTTTCACATTATTAAATTTGTTGGAAACATTAACAATTGTTAGTAATGATTTTTTCAACGGATTTTAATTCATCAAAAATTCTTTAATAAAAGTACCATCAATAATATTTATCCATGGAAATTTATATATGATTGTAATTATTGAAAAAAAAATTGTAGATAATTATAGAAAAATATATGTAATAATTACTAAAACAAAAATTAGTTGGTAATTGCCCAAAAAAAATTCATTAATAATTACAGAAGAAAAAAATTATTGATAAAATTTGTTGATAAATATAGTGATATGTTCACTTTTATGTTTGTTTTCTTTTTTCTTTATCTTTTCATTTTTATCTATGTTCTCCATCACTCCATAATTTATCTTTTCCTATGATCAATTTAAGTAATTAGAATCTCAAATAAAAGAATATCACTCACCCTAATTAAGCTTCCAATAAAGAAAGATCAGAATCTGTCTTCAAAAGATGATCTAGTTGAGGCTCTCTTCACAAGTCTTGCAGATGAACTTGCACTATCTACAACCAAATAAAAAAGAAACTAAAATTATATAATAAGAAGAATGTATATTAAGAAAAAGAAAAAAATTTACTACTTATGCATTGGTTAAAATCCTTAACCTTTTTTCTACTATTTCTTCACGTTGGCAAACAAATTCTGAATAGAGATAATCATCATATATTGTCCTCAATATTCAAACATCACATCACTTTTGAATTGCCAATACTTTTTCTACTTAGGCCTTGTTCGAATCTATGACTTATAAGCAGCACAAGAATATTTTCATCTTCTCTCATAGCTCCTACTAGATAATCCAATAGCCATTGTTACACAAAAACCCAAACATATATTCATATATGATCCAATAATAATCATCCCACAATTATCATTATATATATATATATATATATATATATAATAGTAATTAAAATCGAATTAAAGAAACAATGAACTTAGACAAAATGCAAAGTGGAAAAAAGAAAAGTAAAAAATCAACATCCAAACAAGGACTTAAATGATGTATAAAGTAGAAGATGTGAAAATGGTTGTCATAATCGATGGAGAGACTTTGTGGTAAGGGATAGGAGACATCATGAATCTTTAAAGCATCACTTCCTTGACCCCATCTACCATTAGATTAATCAACCACTCAAATCCCTTTTATATTAATTTTATAGTTAGACTTTTATATGGATTATCATAAAATATAGTAATGTATGAACAATG